ATCCATATCAAAATTTAAAACCAACCATAAAATCATAAAATCAAGAGAGACCGCATTTCACACCAGGGGGTTGAGATGGATCCTCTAAAAGTGCAGGCTGTACTTGATTGGGACCCTCCACGCACACGTAAACAGTTACAGAGCTTCCTGGAGTTTGCCAACTTTTACCGCCAGTTTATCCCTGCTTTCACTCAGATTGCCCTCCCATCACCAAGCTCTTAAAAACAAAGGGGGAGGACAACCCTAAACCAAAGCAACCATTGAACTGGACTATGGAATGCCAGGCAGCATTTGAAAAACTTAAACAGCTGTTCTCAGCAGAACCAATTCTACAACACCCGGACACGGAGAAACCATTTGTCATACAAGCAGATGCCAGCGATGTGGCAATAGGAGCGGTCCTGCTTCAGAAGAATGAGCAAGACCAACTACAACCCTGCGCTTACACATCCAAAAAGTTGAATGAGACTGAGCAAAGGTGGGCTATTTGGGAGAAAGAGGCATATGCAGTTCGTTGGGCATTGTTAACCTGGAGGCATTTCCTAGAAGGCAGTAAGACCCCTTTTGAAGTCTGGACTGATCATAAAAATCTAGAAGCCCTAAAGACCCCAAGGAAACTCTCCCCAAAACAAGTACGATGGGCTCAGTACTTTAAACGGTTTGATTTTACTCTAAAATACCTCCCGGGGGGGGGGAACTTTCTGGCGGATGCGCTATCCAGAAAACCGCAATACATTCGTGTAAGGTCAGACGTAATCAAACCTATAGTACAAAACAGTCAACTAGCCGCTAAAGTAGTCACCAGATCCCAGGAAAAACAAGAAACAGTGACAGACAATGACATCACCCAAAATTTTAAACAAGCATTGGCCACTGATGAATGGTTTTTGAACACCAAATCCAGCTGTCTGATGAAAGAAGACTTGGCTTGGGTGGGGGGGAAGTTGTATGTCCCTGCAAGCCAAAGACTATGCTTAATGGTACGGTGCCATGACTCCAAATTAGCTGGACATTTTGGGTTTGTGAAAACTTTACACCTGATTAAAAGACAGTTTTGGTGGCCATCACTAAAAAAGGACATAGAAAGCTATGTAGCTAGCTGCCCCATTTGTGCAGCAGCAAAAAGACGCCAGGGGAAATCCCCAGGTCTATTGCAGAAGGTAGCTGAACCTGCAGTGCCTTGGAGAGAGATTGCTATGGATTTCATCGTGGAATTGCCAAACAGTGAGGGAAATACTGTTATTTGGGTTGTGACAGACCTATTTTCAAAACAGGCACATTTTATACCCTGCCAAAAGATCCCAACTGCTAAAAGTTTAGCCAAACTATTCCTAATACACATTTATCGACTTCATGGTGCTCCACAAAGGATCATCTCCGACAGAGGTGCTCAATTCACCTCCAACTTTTGGAGGGCGTTTTTGGGCTTACTTGGTATTGGCCAGGGGTTGAGCACCTCTTTTCATCCATGTACTAATGGAAATTCTGAAATTTTGAACTCGGTACTCAAACAATATTTAAGATGTTTCAATAATTTTCAACAGGATAACTGGACCAAACTTTTGTCTTTTGCTGAAGTTGCGTTTAATAATGCTGTACATTCAAGCACTGGTTTTACCCCCTTTAAGAGTAGCAACAGGCCAGGATTTCAGCCCCATGCCTGAACTACCCACGGAAGAACCCACCATCCCCTCACTTAAGGAGTGGGTGGATAATTTGCAAAACACGTGGCCAGTGGTTAGACTAGTTTAAAGGAAGCTAGAGAAGCTTTTAAAATTCAAGCTGACAAGAAAAGGATGGAACCCAAATCTTTTCATGTTGGAGACAGAGTACACTTATCTACAAAATTCCTGAAATCATTACAACCATCAAAAAACTAGGGCCAAAGTTCATTGGACCTTTCCCCATCACTAGAATCATCAATCCAGTAGCAGTTGAACTACTTCTTCCAAAGACACTCAGGCAGATCCACCCAATATTCCATATCAGTTTACTCAAACGAGAAGTAACCTCATCCCTCAGACCACCTGCATCTACACCACCTGTTCCCATCATGATTGAAGGTGAACAACACTTTGAGATCAAGGAAATCCTGGACTCTAGGATCCACAGAGGGAAAGTCCAATACTTAGTTGCTTGGAAACATTTACCATCAGCACACAATGAATGGGTCGCTAAACAGCACGTTAGGGCTCCAACCTTACTGAGAAAATTTCACTCCCAATACCCTAACAAGCCTTGTTGATCTACTATCTTGAAATCTTGTGTGTATTTGTTTTTGTTTTTGTTTTTTTTTTACAGGTGGACCCTTTTGTTTTCTAAGGAGGGTAGCATGTCAGATCCCTAAAAGTGATACTGCCATTCAAGTGGAGGAAGGGGGGACTTGGATTCGATTTACTAGCATGGCCTGTGTCAACAGATATTTTACAACCTATATCCTGGCGCCAGAGGCCTGAGATTCCTATTATTATTATTATTATTATTATTATTATTATTATTATTATTTAATCTTTAGTGAGATTCACTGCCTTTGAGGCTGGTTAATAGCTCAGCAGCTCGAGTCCTAACCAAGGACCTAGGAACTGTTAAGGTATCGTCGGAGGATGTAAGCTATTCCGAGTAAGGTGGTTTTTTGTAAAGTCAAAATGTTCAAGTCCGGCAAATTTAGAATTTCTAAGTAGCGGGGTAGCCCTTTGGGTATTGCTCCAAGGGCTCCAATTACAATTATTATTATTATTATTATTATTATTATTATTATTATTATTATTATTATTAATTTATTTATTTGATTTGTATGCCGCCCTATCTCCATAGGACTCAGGGCGGCTCACAACAATTAAAATCAAACCAGATAAAACATGTTAAAATACATATTAAACACATATTAAACATATTAAGATAATGGAAAATTTGTATTTGAAAACTTTTTCAATAAAAAAAAAATAAAAATAAAAAAGATGAAAGGGAAGAAAGCCAACCCCAAAAAAATATAAAGATATTAAGATAAAGAATGAATTGTTAAACTTTAAAGAATAAAAGAGAACAAATATGAATAAATAACAATAATTAGAAACACAATACAAACATACAATGTATTTTCTTTGAACAGAGTATTTGGCCGGTTCACAAATTTAAACAGTGTTTAGTCATTTCAATTAAATTTACAATTTCTATATTTCCTTTTTGCCATATTTTTCCTCATCTATTTTTATAAAAAACCAATATTACCCTTCATCTTCATCTCTAATCTTAATCAAATTCAATTTTTCCCTTCTATTCTATATTATACCCCTTCCCATTGTCATCTATTTTTATATCCATCCTCACATTGGTTAATTATGTAATTATGTAATACAGTTGTTTAATACAAATTCAACATTTTAATATAAATCAATTAGTTATATAACTATATTTTTTGTATATTAATCAATATGAACATGAATATTCCAATTATTTCCATGCAATCCAATTTCTTACAAATCCATTAATTATATTTACCAATAATAATAAACCAAATAATTTCCCCCATATATTCCTCCAAACCACAACTTAACCATTTCTGCTTTCAACACAATATACAATTAATAGTATCTCAATTATTACAATTCCCTAGTTAAATAGAGCTTTTTTTCTTTTGTGTTTTAAAATCTTGAACTCTCCTCTTTTGCCCTAAATTTCCCATTGTTTGCAGTTTTGCACCTACCTTTTTGGTGAGGAAAAAGAAAAAGAAAAAGAAATCTCTCTCTGCCTCATTTTGCCACGTTGCAGCAAAGCCCCTGCTTTACTTTCAGTTTCTCTTTTTCAGCATAGTTAGGGGAAAAAAATCTCCAGCACTCTGCAGCTAGCAACTACAGAGCCCTGAGCAAAACAGCTGAGAGCAAATCAGCTGAGAGTCGGGAAGCCGATCTAATCAACTTGTGCTAATTAACCTATGCTGAAGCTTTAAGGGGCTGTTTTTTCTATTTTTGCAGGCATCGGTCTACTCATTTGTTTTCTTTTAACACTGATCAGCTGTACGGTGGCCTTTGAAGCCCTGCGGCAAGAGTTTAAACAGTTTTTTTCCCTCTAATCATCAGCTGGGACTCAGGAGGCAGCCGGGAGCAACCCACCACTGCGCCGTTCCCTAGCTTGTTGTGCATTCTTTCCAAAAATCGGGACTTTTTTAAAACGCCGTGGGACGCGGGACAAATTATTCAAAAGCGGGACTGTCCCACCAAAAGCGGGACATCTGGTCTCTTTACTTTTCTCTGTCCGTAGCTAATCCTTATCAGTTTGGGGTGTACACATACACCCGGGAGACCTCCTAAATGAGGTACGTAGCTCCCCTATCTTTGCCCACCATTCAGTTTTCAAGCCTTTCACTTGGGAGCACTGCTATATTTGGAGCAGTATAAATGTGACTGAAATGAGTCCCAGATAAAACTTGTGCATCCACTCTATTTTTCCACATGCAACTTACTGTGATTCACAGCCCCTTGGAGTGCCAATCCCCCTTGCTATCCAAAGTCTCTTGGTCACAACCAGGTGAAGCTCACAAGAGTTTGGGGTAGTTAGGAAAGGCACAGACCATAAAATCAAACAGTAATGGAGGGAAAGAAGGGGAAAACCCACACATACAATTCACTCACTCCCTGGGCACACAGTTTAAAAGGCATGAGAATTTTTTTAGTATCCTATTTGGCCATCCAGATACTCATCCTTATTTCAGTCCATTTTCAAGACCCCAGGAATAGCAATGAGATGTGAGACCATTTACATAAACTGGAAGTAAAATATAATTGTGATTTCTTTCAAGCAGAAGCAAAAGTATTTTATTTCTACTTTACTATTCCAAAAACAATAGAGAGAGAGAGAGAGTCATGCTTATGTAGATAAAATGCATGGGTGGGTCACTACAATTGAAATGTCCTGTCCAAACATTCTATATTGTCCTAGGTGTTGCAATTAAAAGTTCAGATTATACAAGTTTCTGAATTCTTTCTCCTTTTCTCCCCCTAAAGATTTAACCAAAACTTCCTTGAAGCTAAGCAGGAAAGAAGCTGAGAGAAAAAAATCTATGAAGGTGGGTGATTATTCTTAGCATATTTACAAAGATAAATAAACTACCAATTTATATTCTTTTGTGGACTGTCATGAACTTCCTTAAATAGTTTTGGGAATTATACTTTGCTGAGGTTATTACACATTTGGCTTGGAAATCCACAAACAATTGGAGACAGAGTTAAGTTTTTAAGATTGGATATTGTAGAAAAATAACAAACAATATTTGTATTCTTATGTGAACTATGAAGAAGACACCTGGTTGGACCAGCGACTAATGGCTAAATTTGCATATAACAACCCAACATGCTCTTCACACATTACTTTTTCAAGCACTTGTCTGTACTTTAAATCTGCAGCAGGATAAAATACAATGAAAAACTTAATACAATAAAGTAGCTCAAAATGTGCTCAAAGTGAAATGCACAGATCTACTTCAGTTAGAGCAAGTTTCACTCTTAAGCAGCAAAATCTACTAAAACACTTTTCAAAAGCTTTATTTGTATGTTTTGTTTTGTTTTTCTCTCCTCAGAGAATGGGGCAACAAAAAAAACCTTCTCGACCCAAACCGTCTCCCCCTCCGAACTGTGTTGCTACTTGGGCAAGCTGCAAGCCACCGTCTCATCCCTGCTGTGATTTCTGTGCCTTCTGCCACTGCCGACTTTTTCAGACCGTCTGCTACTGCCGTATAGGAAATCCAAACTGCTAAATCAAAGTCAACAATGCTCTCAGACTCTCAGTATATCTTCCAGACTGGTTGCCTTGTATCTATTTTCCAAAGAGGCCAAGAAACTCATCTTCTTCCAAGCGTCATATTCCTCGTGGGATCTATCTCAAAGGGTAATGCTATCAGAAACAAGCTAGTCTCTGCCATGGTAATTATGGTAGAGAAGGGGTGAAATGGGGGAAAGGCTGACCACTTGAAAAGGGAAGGGAAGCTGAGAGAATGAAAGTTGCACATTAAAAATACATTATCCGTGGTCCTCAAGTTACGACCGCAATTTTTTTTAAAGTTTTTTTTATTTTTTACACAAACAAACAAACACACAATGCATTTTTTCTGAACAGAGTATTTGCCGGTTCACAAATTTAAACAGTTTTTAGTCATTTCAACTGAATTTACAATTTATATACTTCCTTTTTGACATAATATTTATTCTCTCTATTTTTTTTAAACCAATATTACCTTTCATTCTAACCTCTAATCTTAACCAAATTCAATTTTTCCCTTCATCTCTATATTAAACCCTTTAAATTTAAAATCTCACAGATATAATTCTTAGTATTTCCTTATACTCCTTTAATATAATCACTAATGTTTTCCATTGTCAGCTGTTTCAATATCCAACATCTTAATACAATCAATTAATTATGTGATGTTACAATCATTCATTTCTTATAAGAATAATAAACCCAATTGTTTTATGCCATACATTTCTTTAAATCTTTTTTTAAAATAATTTTTATTAAACAGTTTAAAACAAACAAACAAACAAAAACAGATATTTACATCTTCTTTTCAACATCTTCACATCAGTAATCCATATTTATATATTTTCTCTTTCTTATATTAATATATTTTTATACATATATTTCTAGTATATCATATATATACCGTCATAATATATTCTCTTAATCTAAATATTTTATTTACATTTAACATAAACAGGTACCTAATTTTCTTTCCACAATTTGTATCTTCCCATTTGTTTCCATATTCCTCCACCTAATTTAACCATTGTTTAGTTTTCTTTTGTCCCCCCCCCTTTTTTTTCCCCTTTCTCCTCCAACCATGTATACCATTTCTCCCAGACTAAGTAGTATTCTGTTTCATCTTTTTCTTGTATCTCCTTTGTGATCTTATCCATTTCCGCACACTCCATAATTTTTATAATCACCTTGTCTACTGATGGTATATCATTGTTTTTCCAGTTTTGGGCGAAAACTATTCGTGCTGCTGTAATTATGTGAATAACTAAGTATCTTATTTCTTTTTCAAATGACCCGGTAATTATTCCCTGTAAGAAAGTTTCTGGCCTCATTTCTATTTGTTGATTTAAAATTTCTTCTATTTGTGTTTTAATTATTTGCCAAAATTGTTTTGCCTTATGGCAGGACCACCACATGTGATAATAAGTTCCTTTTTGATGTTTACATTTCCAACATAGCGGGAAGGTATTTGTAAACATTTTTGCCAATCTGGCAGGTGGGAGATGCCACCTACTGTATAAAACATTTTATATATATTTTCTTTATAGGGTACATTGTTAATTTGTAATTTATATTCCATAATTTCTCCCATTTATCAAATTCAATATTGTATCCAAAATTTTTTGCCCAAATTATCATATTTTCTTTAACTATCTCTTCTTCCAATTTGTTTCTTAATAAGTAGTTATAGGTTTCTTTTATCAATTCATCCTCTGTTCCATGGAGAATTTTTTCTAATTCATACGTTCCCTTTTGAAATCCAAATTGTGCCAAATCTGTTTTGTATCTAGATTTTATTTGCATATAGGGCCACCAATCAATGTCTGTACCCAATTCTTTCAATTCCTGTCTTGTTCTTAATTCCCCTTGATTATTCAACAGATCTTTGTAAGTTTTCATTTTACCAATATCTAAAGCATTTGGGTAAATTTGTGCCTCCATAGTGGATAACCATTCCGGAATTTTATCATTAAAAAAAAAAAAGAATCTTTAAATCTTATTCCAAATAATACAATCCAACATCTTAATAAAAATCAGTTAATTATATAGCCATCTTTTCTCTTTATATAATAATAATAAATCAAATAACTTTCTACTATATAATTCTGAATCTTATCTCTAATTTTCAATTATTTTGTCAGACATATGTATTTATACCTCTTCAAACAACATCTTAATCATTTCTGCTTCGCCACAATCTAATTAATTCATAATACAATATCATTTTGATTTTTTCCTTTTTTGATTGGGTTCCAAATATGCAATTAAAAATATTCCAATTGTTACCATTTCCCTAAATAAATTTGAAGATATTCTAGCTGTTATCCTCTAATTTGTTGAACTTATTCATATTTCTAAAACTTATCATTGTATAAGTTACTACCACAATTGAGCCCAAAATTTATATTGCTAAGTGAAATGTTTGTTCAATGAATTTTGTCCCATTTTACGACTTCTCTTGCCACAGTTGTTAAGTGAATAATTGCTCTTGTTAAGTTAGTAATATGGTTGTTAAGTGAATATGGCTTCCCCATTGACTTTGCTTGTCTGAAGGTTACAAAAACTGATCACGTGACCCCGGGACACTGCAATCGTCATAAATATGAACCAGTTGCCAAGCATCTGAATTTAGATCATGTGATCATGGGGATGTTGCAATGGTCATGTGAAAAATGGTCATAAGCCATTGTAATTTTAGACAGTCATTAAACGAACTGTTGTCAGTCAAGGCCTACCTATATATTTTCCTTCTGAAGAATTGCATTTATTGCACTTCAGAGATGTAAAAACATGAATGAAAAACAGGGGCTGCAATAAAAGGTGTACTCCAGGACAATAATCATGTGAATTTCTAGCAAAATGAGACAGACGAAACAAGTTATTGCTCAGTGATTTATAGTTAGCTTTCTGTAACAGGGTTTGGTAACATTTAGCATTCCAGGTGTTGCTTAACGATTGGCCCCAACCATTGATGGGGTTAATGGGAACTATGATTAACAATCAGTCTTTGAGGACTGCAGATGTCCCATCTCAATAAAAGGGAGCGGGGAACCAGTTTCAGTCCAAGGGATTCATTCACTTCTTTAATATTTTTTAACGACTATCCACCAATGATGGGTACAACCAAAGCTAAAATATTTTCTTTTTGCTTTCTTTGTTTTGCTTTTGCCTGTCCTATCACCCCTTCTCTGTTCTTCCTAGGTCTATTCTATACAAATCATGCTGCTTTTATTCTCTTCTCTGGAGAGAGCAATATGAGTCAAGGATGCAGGAATCCAACACAGAAGCAAAACATCTGGTAACAGAAAGAGAGAATGATGCTTCTGTGCATTGTCATTATACTTAGATTTTATGCTATTTGGTGAGAAAAAGGGGATTTTTAATCCTAGATTTACCCAAATGGAAAACAATTGTGAAATAGGGAAAATGAAAGCATGGGGAGCAAAATCAAGAAAAGTTGGAATGGAACCTGGTAATTAGCTAGCAAACCAAACCAAACAGAAAGGGTTGGCAAACTATACTGTTCCATGGATCAGAGATTTAAAACAAATCAAGATATTAACTTTAACAAAACTATTCTCCATCTTCAGTTTTAAACTGGCCTATGTTTCAATTCAGCAGTTTTAATAATATTAGTGTGCATATAAAATTCCTTTTTACAACCCTGTAATCCCTTAATTAATTAATTAATTGAGGGACGCGATGGCTCAGTGGCCAAGACGCTTGTCGATCAAAAGGTCGGCAGTTCAGCGGCTTGAATCAGTAGTGCCATGTAACGGGGTGAGCTCCCGTTACTTGTCCCAGCTTCCGCCAACCTAGCAATTCAAAAGCACGTAAAAAATGCAAGTAGCAAAATAGGGACTACCTTTGGCGGGAAGGTAACAGTGTTCCATGCGCCTTTGTCATTTAGTCATGCTGGCCGCATGACCACAGAGACATCTTCGGACAGCGCTGGCTCTTCAGCTTTGAAATGGAGATGAGCACCACCCCCTAGAGTTGGGAATGACTAGCACATTTGTGCAAGGGGAACCTTTACTTTTTAATCCCTTAATTCAGAGTAGATTTGGGGAGACTGGATGGAGCTGAGTGTTTACTGATTGGATGCCCTTCCGGATACCATGTGGAGTTTGCAGCAGACATTTTTTTCTTTGCACTATAGAAGAGAAGCATATACTGCTACTTGTGACTGAACTCCCAACCTTCTGAGTGGGAGGTGAGTGAGGGAATAAAATGGACACATTTTCATTACGACTCTTAATTTTAACCTCAATTTTTGGAGTGCTCCCCCCCCCCCAAAGCTTTCCCAATACAATTAAGCTTTGTAGATTTTATCTCACAACCATCATCTCAAACAAGCATGGCCACTTTGATGCTTAGGCTAAATATAATCATTATCATTATCATTATATAATCATAAGTTTATTTGTCAAGCATATATAAAATAACAGGTAACAGTATAAACATAATTTAAATACATGAAAAGAGTAAGTAAAAAGGAATATTAGGATATCATACCTATGTAGGGCTATAAATATAGTACAAATCTATCTGTTACACAGACCTTTAGATTTTAGAAGGTTCCCCCCCCCTTTGACTCTTGAAATTTTTCATGCACTGACTATATAAGTCTTTAATAGTATTATAATGCTGCTTTACTGAGTTAGTTGGCTTTCTAGAGAACTGAGTGATGTAAGGAGCTAAAGATATGCTCCAAAATTATGTTGCAAGCCTCCCATTGTTACAGGAATTAATAGACAAAATAGTGACCGATGGCAGTCAGAAGGGAGGTTAAACAAGACTTCCAAACAGAATCATGCCATAGACTCAGGTGGCCTTTACTTACTTGCAACTAATCATGAAGCTAACATGCCCTGATAGCTTCTTATTTTTTGCCCCATGACTTTGCCCATGAGTAAGATAAGATTATACCATCCTTAGCGCTACTGATATTAAAGTAGTATTTTCTTTCTACAATCCAAAGGCACAATCAAGATCAGGGACGGGTTTCAAAACCTGTCACTATCGGTTCACTTGTGGGCGTGAGCGTGTGATGGTTCTGCACAGAAGCGTCCAGGTGAGTGGGCGGAGCCTCCCGCCACCGCTACCAGTTTGCCTGATCCAGGGCGAACGGGTAGCAACCCACCACTGGTCAAGATGTATATATAAAAAATCTATTAATATTTGTTAGTCATTATCTTTGAAGGAAGTCCACTGACTACAGTGACTTGAAGTAGATACAGCATACAGACCTGAAATGGGAATAGGGTATTTCATGCTAGTACAATTTACTGCCAAATCACTGATGAAAGCACTTCATTTTAGCAGTGAGGAAAGGCTGATCAAGTTGAAAGAAACCATTTGCTCCATTCTCTTACCCTCTCTTCAGTGCAGAAATGTAAATAAAAGTATCCCCATCTGACAGCTATCCATCAGTGGTGGGTTGCTCCCCGTTCGCACCAATTCTATAGAACCGGTAGTAAAATCGGCAGGAGGCTCCGCCCACCAACCCTGTCATCAGAATGCTTCTGCACATGCACAGAAGCGCACACGTGCGCACTTGCTTCACTCACACTTTCGCATGGCCTCGTTGCGAACCGGTAGTAAAGGTAAGTAGAACCCACCCCTGCTATCCATCATTTACCAGAACATGTGCAATGATGTCACCTCCTTAGCAACTGATTTCATTGCTGAACTTCTGTTATGTTTATAAAGTTCTTCTTA